TATATATATGCAAAAGTGCCTGAAAAAAAAAATGAATTGCCTGAAAAATTTTATGAATGTTTCTAAAAAAAATTCTTTACTCGCATCAGACATGTTCGATTATAACTTTGAAAACGGAGAAGAGTATATGTGTACACAACACACACACACACACACCTGTAAGAATAATTCTTTCAATTTCCTGGATTGACTTCCCGATTATTTTTTTGTGTCTATAAATTAAGTACATTTTACATTTTTAATTTCCTGTTCAATTAATAGATCTTATTACGTGCAAAGTACTAGAAAAAAATGTAAATTGCTTCAAAAATTTTATAAACACTTTAATATAAAATTATTCTCTCGCCAGACATCTTCGGTTATGATTCGAAAATGAGAAAGAGTATAATGTGAATATTTCTCGAATTTCTCAAAGTGATCCGGTCATTTCTCGTATATATTGAGTACATTTCATATCGTTAATTCTATTCAATTAATAGATAAGATCTTTTTATACAAATTCTTATTATATTAAAATAAATTTGAAAGACGTTTTCTTTATCCGCAATCGTAAATTTTCGCAGCGGGAGAACAGATGCGATCTCTTCTTATCGACTGTGCACAATCGAATTGCTAGCGAATGACTCCGCCGTTTCGAAGAGCAGCAGGCACAGAGAAGTCAGATTGAGTGTCGTAAGGAAAGATGGTGAGTCTGTCAAAACTATCAATTGATTATTATTTAATGTAAAACGAAGTAACTTTACTATTCAGGAGAATAGCAACATTTGTGTATTGTTGCTAATTTTCTAGAATCTACTCTACTTATCGATCGTTTAGATTTAGGTTAGCCATCCTTCAAATGTTTGCTCTATCTTAAATTTATTTTTCAAGTTTTATCAAAAAGAATTTAACTTTTCTCAAACGATTACGATATTTCTTTTAATGCAACTGTTAATTTATCAGTGAAATTTTTTGATAATAATAAATTGTCACATAGGGTCAGAATCAATCTGGAACTGGTGGCAGTGGAGGAGACAAGAAGGATGACAAGGATAAGAAGAAGAAGTATGAGCCGCCGATTCCTACGAGAGTGGGTAAAAAAAAGAGGCGTACTAAGGGGCCGGATGCAGCTCTGAAATTGCCACAAGTGACTCCTCACACGCGTTGTAGACTGAAATTGTTAAAAATGGAGCGCATAAAGGATTATCTACTGATGGAGGAGGAGTTTATTAGGAATCAGGAGCGCCTGAAGCCGCAGGAGGAAAAGAATGAGGAAGAGAGATCGAAAGTGGACGATCTTCGTGGTACACCAATGTCCGTTGGAACATTGGAAGAAATAATTGATGACAATCATGCGATAGTGTCTACCTCGGTTGGCTCCGAGCATTACGTATCCATCTTGTCATTTGTGGACAAAGATCAATTGGAACCTGGTTGTTCTGTATTGTTAAATCATAAAGTTCACGCTGTTGTTGGCGTTTTAGGAGATGATACAGATCCTATGGTTACAGTGATGAAACTTGAAAAAGCTCCTCAGGAGACCTACACTGATATCGGAGGTATGTTATGAATAAACACACACACACACACACATACACACACACACACACACATCTGTTTTATATTCAAATATTTTGTAATATTTTATATTTATCTATATAAATTCTGATAAATTTATAATGAATTATAAATTAAATTGTTATGTAAACATCAAAGAATATGACTCGTAAATATTTTCAGGTCTTGATACTCAAATTCAGGAGATTAAGGAATCCGTAGAATTACCATTAACTCATCCAGAATATTATGAGGAAATGGGTATTAAACCTCCGAAAGGTGTGATACTTTATGGACCACCTGGCACAGGGAAGACACTGCTTGCCAAGGCTGTGGCTAATCAAACATCGGCTACATTTTTGAGGGTTGTTGGTTCTGAACTTATACAGAAATATTTAGGGGATGGTCCAAAGCTTGTAAGAGAGCTTTTCAGAGTTGCCGAGGAGCATGCTCCTTCTATTGTCTTTATAGATGAAATAGATGCGGTAGGCACGAAAAGATACGACAGCAATAGTGGAGGCGAAAGAGAGATTCAAAGAACTATGTTGGAATTGCTTAATCAATTGGACGGTATGCTAATTTCCCCCAATTCAAAATTCAGACAAAAATCTTTTTATACTAGTAAACTTTATGTTCGATATTAATAAATATATTAGCTATTATAATAATCAGATGTTAAATTTGAAAAATTATTACTAGGTTTTGATAGTAGAGGCGATGTGAAAGTGGTTATGGCTACTAACAGAATAGAGACCTTAGATCCTGCTTTAATTAGACCGGGTCGAATCGATAGGAAAATAGAATTCCCGCTGCCAGATGAGAAGACTAAAAGAAGAATCTTCAATATTCACACAAGCAGAATGACTTTGGCGCCTGACGTGAATCTTGCGGAATTAATTATGGCAAAGGATGATCTTTCTGGTGCGGACATCAAGGTAGGATAATCTTCTGTAAAAATTCAACTCTGCTTATACATGTATTTTGTACTTTCTTGCAGTTCTTTTATTAAGATAAGAGAAAATAGTTGTGGCTCTAAGAATAAATCAATGCCAAACAAAGTTAAAGCAAAATTGTAAATCCTTTTTTTTTTATTGCTTCATTAAAATGGATTAAAAATTTTTATTTTAGGCAATATGTACCGAGGCTGGTTTAATGGCTCTACGTGAACGACGTATGAAGGTTACCAGCGACGATTTTAAGAAATCCAAGGAAAGTGTGTTATATCGGAAGAAGGAAGGTTCTCCCGAGGGATTATATTTATAAAAAAAAAATTCATTATCACTTATCTCTGTATTGAATCGCGAAACTGTTCGAGTGTCTCAATAAAAATTTCTACAGGAGATTAACCCTTACAATTTATATATATATATATATAAAACATTATTTTTAATATATATAATCTAACTAAATTATTCGTTCGGTAAATCTGTAAATTGCTACTTAAATATATCTAAAGAGTTGAATTGATTTCAATGTCCGATTTCTTCAAGATTGGTTCGAGATAGTTATGTAGCTTGTTTATTACTTCTGCAGAGTGTTCTCTCTGCTCGCTCAGGACTTTGGAGAATGGAGCTTTCTCATGTGAATTGGAAGTTTCATTTTGCGATTCCACCTCGCATATCCCGCATGCACCGCGTCTGGCTCTTTTAAGAACAGCTGCCACATCTGTGGGATGTTCTAATGTGAACGTCAAAGCGGCAGCCAGACCCTTGTACCTTCCTAAAGTGAAAGCGGTCTCGAAACCGTCTTTGTAACCAATGTCGAATCCCTCTTGCAGCACAGAGTCTGCTCCGTCTTGTATCCCTTCTCTGTAGCCAGTCTAAAAATATGATTATCAAATGCAGCACGGTAAGTAATTGCAACATAAATATCGCGTCAAAAACTGTCGAAAATCGCTTACGTACTTTAATAGCACCGTCCACAAGGCGTTTCCAGCATTTCGAAGCGACATATAGAGAATCGTCATCTCTAGCCGAATCGTACTCTGCCGTTTGTATTACATCTTCCATTGTATAAGTAGACATTATTCTCCTCGAAACAATTTTGTGATGAAATGTTTCAAGTCAAATCAATAAAAACAGATCTTTATTTCGGTACAAAATGATATCTAATGAATAGGTAATTTTTATTAAAATTTAAGATAAGATGGTTAAAGAAATATTTACCAATAGATACGTTTACGTTATGTATAATTGCAATGGTAATTATAGCGCTTTAAATATTTATAACAATTCGTGTAACTACGCGCAGAATCAATTATACAAAGAAATTAAACAGTCAACAATCAAGTAGTGTTTGCGTATGTTTGACATTCCTGCGGTATTATATACGTATATAACAGCAGATGTTAGGTTAAGTTAAGCTACGATAAGACGTAAACAATGATAAACGTATTTGGAAAAAACGTACATTGAAGGAAGGGTACGGAATAGCGCAAAGTACCTGAAAATGTCGGGACGTAGAAAGAAAGACAAGAATAAACTGCTGCAATGGAGACCTCGTAATGTTCTCTGCAAGGAGCTGAGGTATCACCAGAAGAGGGACAGAACGTCTGACTGGTCTGACAGTTCGGATAAGGAAAACGATGAAACAGGTTAGATTAGGATGAGTTTCGTGTTTTGCAATGTACATATTGTACATTTGGTACAAGAGTACAATGTAATCTTTGCAGAGACGGTAAACGAGTGGCCGTTGCCATTCCCTGTGGCTATGTGGGATTTAGAGCACTGCTCCAAACAGTCCAAACATGGTACTGGCAAAAAGCTAGTAAAACATGGTTTAACAAAATTGCTGCGACTGAGTACACGATTTTCAGGCCTTTGCCTTACTCCAGTGGGCAATGAGGTAAAATAAAGAAACAATAAACAACAACAATCTCGTCGTCTAGATTCTTAGATAAAATGTTTGTCGCAGTGCGTGACTCCATTGGATCGCAAGATTGTAGAGAAGTATGGTTGTGCAGTTGTTGATTGTAGTTGGTCGCGTATCGACGACACTCCCTTCAACAAAGTAAGGACATCCCATCCTCGCATATTACCCTTCTTGGTTTCTGCCAATTCGACAAAACCCTGCGAATTGAGTTGTGCGGAGGCTATTGCAGCTACTTTAATCATAACGGGATTTCCAGACGAAGCTGACCTGATTCTTGGCAAATTTAGTTGGGGACACTTGTTCCTAGAACTAAACAGTGAATTGTTGGAAAAATACGCTCGTTGCGCAAATATTGAAGAAGTAATAGCTGTACAAGAAAAGTTTTTAAAGGATATCCAGCAGGAAAAAATTGACAGACTTGGTAAGAACATCTAATTATTCTATGCTTATCCTATATATGTATATACACACACGCGCGCGCGCACACACACACACACACACATATATACACATATGTGATATTTGTGTTCTTTAGCGATTTCTGACTTTCCACCAAGTGATACAGAATCTGAAGAAGAGGCGGAAGAAAAAGATAAGAGCGTAGTGTCCGAAATAGTTAAGGAACTAGCCAATGCAAAAATATAAAGTACAATACTGCAGCTATTTTACACAATCAAATAATACACTAGAGGTGTACGAATTAAACATTTATATGAAATTGAATTGAATCAAATTTTTAATAATATATTAAAAAATGAATCAAATCAAATCTTTTTTATTAAAAAAAAAAAACTAAATTTGAATTAAATTTTCCTGAATTTACATTAAAAGCCAATTTAAAAAAATTTATTTTCAATAATATTATATATTTTTTTAAGTAAATAAAATCATTTTTAACTTACGAGAGTCGTGTGAAGCAAATAAATGAAGCAAATAAAATAGGCGATAGATTTAAAATCGAACCACTAATGAACCACTCGAGATTTTAAATTTATTATTTCGATTTTTCGAATCGCGGAAAACGAATCGAATTAAATCCATTATTAGCGAATTTGGTCACTTGCACTGACTTGCACTACACTATTAAAAGCTGTTTTATATGAAATTAGCAAAGTTATAAATGTAAAAGTATATAAATATTTTAAATGAGTAACTATCTACTAATGATATTGTCACGTCACTTAACAAAATATATATCATTTCATTGCCAAAGTTAATTATATTATATCACTGCATTGAGATATTTTATATAAAGCAACTTTTAATATGCACTGATGTAGTGTGAGTTCCAATTCACTATAAGATTCGATTTTAAATTATTCGCATACCTCTTGTAATAGAGAACCTCTAAAAAATAAAAGTAAATTTTCTTACAAAATATCAAAATATCAACAAAATAATAAATAATTACATAATTAAAATAATTTTAAAAATATCTATTGTACAATAATCAGTAGTTAAAAACTGCGAATGATTATTTTAAATTAATGAGAATTAAATTAATTAATTTCTTTAAATTGATTATATTAATTTGAAGAAATATAATATGTATTTATTATTTTGCTGAAAAAGATTGTCAGTCAAAATCCTTTGATATTTTGTAACAAAATTTATTTTTATTTTTTACCTATATCCGTTAATTATTTCTATTGGCCCTTTTTGTTACTGTATTATTATTTGGCAAAAAACGAGCTATAAAATAAATTACATTTATTTTTAAAAAAGAATTATTTAAAGAGATTGTCTTTAATATAGTTTGGAAATTGTTAATATTCTTCGACATAATTGTATACTGACATTTTATATTCTGTATAATATTTGTATTTTATCAATTAAATTTTTATTTTAGCTTATAATAATATGAGAGAAACATATATTTACAATATTAATATTAATATTTACATTATTAATATTAATCTATTAAGATATATTTAACTATTCAAGGATTTAATTTTTGCAAAAACGAGCAAAAGTATGTGCATTGGAATCAAAGTCGTAGAGTGAACGGAGTCCATTCGTACGCGCGATCTCTTTCAATTCTTTAGTAAAGTCCTGCAAATCCTCTTTGCGAAGATCTGCCATATGTTTGCGCAATTCCACAATCATCGGTGCATCAGCAGATATCAATGGTACCAAATTTGGTAATTGTTTTGTCATATTATGCGCCACCCAAATCAGATGGAATCTATTTATATATTCGCATTTAGACTTAAGAGACTCCAGCGACGTTATAGGATGAAATATTATCTAAAAAGAAGTGTTGTAAAATTCATTCACATTGGCTATTAAAGCATACAAAAAAACGTACCTTGTGATTTGGTACTTCCATCCAAGAAATCTTTTTATCTTGTTTAGATTTATCTCCAGTACTTATCCACGATTCGTTTTCCATTTCAATATCCGGCATTTCGCTCACTATAATGCCATTTAAAATTGACACATCTCTATGAGCACCGACGTGATCTTCACATAGTGGCTCTTTCGTTCTTATTTCATAAATTGCACGCATTATCTCACGTTCAGCAATGTCAGTTGCCCTACGTCTTTAAGATTTAAGAATTTTTATTTATGGGAAGCAAGCATGTAAATTTTTTTTTGAATATATTTTATTACTTGTCTTCATTTTTTCCAACCGCAGCCCATGTAAAAAACGGACCATTCACAATGTCTCCCAAGTATGCATAATGTATAAAACCAGGTCCAAGTTGAATTATATTATTCAACAGAGTTGGATTGCTTCTAATTGGTTCGCCTTCGAGCCATGTAAAAGCTATTCCATTATTTCTCCAAAATCTAATAATTATAATAACATATTTTGTTTTTTTTCTCATTGATATATTCAGATAATCATTTCAACTAAAGAAGCATATCATCTTGTTCACAATTTTATATGCAGTTTTAACTGCTTACAATGTATAAACATACTTATATTCTTGTATAGTAAGATTAGTGGTACATCTGGGCTTTAAAATCATATGATAATCCCAATCAAAAACACCTTCTCTGTAGTCATATCTCGTTTTTAATAACTTCCTGATTCTACGATCCCAATAATTCACAATGGGAACTCCTTCGCATGTTGCACGTGCCCAAAATCTTATAGAGAAATTATTACAATAATTAATACAGAAATACATAAATGTCTGCGGAAGCATTAAATACCTTTACTTAAAACTAGTGGCGAATTTTTCAAGTCTGTCTCTAGATGCTTTGCATTGTAGAATCTTTCAAATTAATCGAATAAAATAAAGAACGCCGAACGGTCAAAGTTAGATGTTACGAATATATTTAATCAATTTTTTGTTCCATGTTTCAAATTAAGTTTTGCTCGAGCGTCTCAGATACTAAAATCCACCACTGTTAGAAACTATTTTATTTTATTACTATATCTCCTTAACGTCAACTTACTTAAAAATAGATTCCAAATTATCCCTATCCTTGTGCTTAAATTTTTCTAATGATAACCATGGACACTCAACAGTACGGGTCGGAATATCGATCAGTTGTTTGGCGCATTTTGCTAAATATTTAGCCGTAGCAGGTCTCAAAAGAGTGTTCCCTAAAATCTCCAAATAATATCGCGTCGCCTCTTGCAGTCCTTTGGTATATTAATTATGTATATTAGTTTCATTAATTTCTCTAACATAGGCTTGATATTAGTATTCACAAATACATACCCAAATCTTTTTCTAAGCAAAGGCTTAATAAAAGTATCGATCTAGCAACTTGCTCTAAAGTCGGTTCGATAATGTGATACGTTATAGTCCGAGCAGGATGTATGTAAGATGAAGCTAGCGTTTTCACGATATGTCGTGCATCACCAGAACCTACAATCAATACTTCAAGATTGTTTAAAATACAGTCTTCTATTTGTGTTATTTCAGCTTGTAAATCTAGCGGTTGACTATATCCCCACCACATATTGTTTCAAGATTTGAACTTTACGAAATATACACTTTCATAGAATTGTCATATATATACTTAATAATTATCAGGATTGCTATTACCAAGCTTGTTTTAAAAGGTCTGTTATCTCCATGGTAACCTCAGAAACGAAGAGAATGATTCCAGATCAGGTTCAATCATGGTGGAATATACTTCCATCATGGGTTGAATAGAATGTTTTGAAAGCAAAATATTTCCGCAAAAAGTTTTTTTCTTTGCATCGATTATACTTTTGAATTTAAAGGAATAGTTCTATCTCAGTGAAGAAAACTTCCAACAGTTACAAAATAAATATTATCCTGAACATGGTCAATGTTTATTTGAATTGTATTTTGTTCTAATAAATATTTTAATTTTTTGTTCTAAGAACGTTGTATCTAAACAGAGATATGTGCATTAATTAGAGGCAGAAAGTAAATAAATAGAAAGACATTTGGCTAGAGGAGTAAGAATTATTATATTAAAATAAAAATGTTATAGATTTATATAATAAAATTATAAACATATTATTATATATAGTGACATAGTCATGTCTTTTTTAGACTTATAAAACCATTTATTTATTCCTATATATAGAATCTGTGACACAGATAAAAATAGTTCCCTTTTGAACTTTTCTTCAACAAAGTTCGTTATAAAGATTCTACGTATTTATTCAGCACAATTGCTCATTTATCCCTCTTTTTCTGTGCTCGTTTGTTACCACAGCGTTGCAAAAGATCAGTAATAGGACCTTTATGTTGAAATATAGCAACCAGTTGTGTACGTGCTTCGTTCATGCCCTCACTGATTAAATTACTGCGCTGCATATTCCCTTTAATCAATTCGTTTACCCGTTCGAGACCATCGTTATGTTTACTTTTAACGGTTTGCTGTGATTCCAGTAGCGTGAGTGTCGTTTTTAATTTTTCATGAACCTACGAATGTATCATATAAACATGATTCCCTAAATGTAAACAAATTGAAGAAAAATCTAAACAATGTGTCAATATACCTGTTTTTCAAGGGATGAAATATCTTCCATTTGTGTAGTGAGATGATAGATTTTCCATCCATTTAATCTCTGTAATACGTATTTCTGTTGCGCCAGTTCAGCAACTGTTGGTCTTCTTTCCTCACGAGGTCGGACATCGCTAGGTCTTCTATAATGCTGCAATCTAACTGTCCATTTGTTTTTCCAAGAAGAGCCTAAAAACATATGATTAGGAAGAGTATAGTTAACATAGAAAATACGAACGATGTGAAGGATATAAAGGAACAAAATGTTTGTATATATATATATATATATACCTAATAAACTTGGTACAGGCCGTGATCGTGCTATTGTGATTTCTGTTTGTTGAGTAGATGATTTAATATCACTTTGTACATTGGAGAGTTGCCTTTTGTCGGACAACTTCTCTTTTGATTCCTCTTTATTCTCCTTCTTCAATTTTTCCTCAGTGAGAAATTGCATCTCTTCCTCCGTAAATTTAGGTTCAGTTAATTCTACGCCTGTAAGTTGCTGTTTGCGTGGTTTTTTTCTTGGCGACATTTCTATAGTGGGATTAATAGTAATTCTGGATTGTTCAAGTTCCTCGTCGAGGCCTGGCGAAGATGTAGCAGATACAGTTGTAGATCCAGAACTTTGGCATCCACCACCATCCTGATCACCCTTCGGTGAGCATGGCGGACTGGACATTGATCTACTTGATGGCAAAGATGCTAATACGGGAACTAAATTTTTAGCTGCACCTGTAAGAAATTGTGACTCCCCTGTGAAATTGAAATTCTATAATGGATATTCATTAAACAAGTATAAATAATTTATTAGGAAATTTCAGGTCTCATTTTATAATATATAATAGAAGATAGAGAAAATAAAACCACTATAATTAATTATAAATGTGTAGCACATTAAAAAAATATATACAAAAAATTTATCTGCAATATCTAATTTACTTTTATTTTAATATTCTTTTCGGTTTGAACTGTCTTAACAAATTGGGTAGAACGAGAATTTTTTGTCATATGTAAACATAAACTATCACATATAAATATTTTCTTAATACATTAAAGTCAACATTTTCAAGCATGTTTCAACACGCTGCAAAATTAAAGCTTTCAATTTCTATCATTATAAAATATCTATCAAAATAAAATATACTTTGAAAAAAACCGTCACTGTATATCATCAATTTTAGTTGAATGTTCCTTACTTATTATGTATATGTTATTTATATGTGTTTGTATGTTGTTATAGAATAAATGATACTTTTTATATAACGTTCGTTATTGTTTCATTTATATTTACTAACATAATCATACCTTTAACTGGTGAATTGTCATGATCTCTCTTTCTCAGAATGCTCGGTCGGGGAGATGCATTAGGTTTACCATGGGGTTCTTCGTACCCTGGCTCAACAACTAATCTCACTGGCTGCACTGAAGCTTGTCGAAACTGTGAATATGTTCCTGAAAAACAAATTTTTGTTATCGCAGAAGATAATGCAATCATATTTATCACAGGATACAAGAATGTAAAAGATAATTCACTTAGCCTTTTTTAATTGATTTTTACCTGTCTCAAAGGAAAGATACGTAGTAGTATGTGGTGGATGTATATATTGCCCTTGAACCGGCTGAGCAGAACTTGTGACTGTACTGCTGTTGGTGGACGACATGCGTAAATTAGCTTGTGCCGGTTTCACTTGGACGGTTTGTCCAATATTTTGGGACTGTGTAGGAGCAGCCTTGATCGGCGCCGACGCAGCCCTAACCGGTAGAGCGATGGGCAAAGAGTGTAAGGACATTCCTGCGATTTTCGCAACTGTGGTTGGAACTGTTTGCAGTATGCGCATTGCATTTGCAGACTGTGTATTTGCGGTTGTTGTAATTACTTGTGATGTACTGAGGCTCGACAGAGATGTGACGGTTTGAACAACACGCGGTGCACCTTGCTGTGGTTGAACCTGTTAAACAATTGTTACATTTATCATTTTGAAAAAATTTTCAATATATTGTAAATTAGAGTACAACATAATTAGAGTACCTGTTGCGAAGGGATAACGATATGACTAACGGTCGATGGTCCAGCCACCGTATTACCACTAATTGACAATTGTCGTCCTACTGTTGGTTCCACCGAACCGACAGTAACTGAAGCTGTACTGCTTATTCTGTTGACTGTCTCTACAATGGGTGATGCAGCTATACGTTTCGTCGTACCAGTTGTAGTTAGAGGTCTGCTAGACTGAGTAGGCTAAACATTTCAATAAAATTTATAAATTCATAAATTGTATATATATCCCTTCTTGGCATTTATGTGCAATTCAGAAAAGTAGTACACTCAACCGTCACGTATGCCTTCACCGCCGGGTCGAACGCATTGTGTCGATATTCGTGTACCATGACTCAAAACTGTGTTTGACAACTGTAAGTTTTTGAAAGTGCGTAAAAGAGTAAACAAAAAGTTGTACAACATTACACATATATTATATATGATATATGTATATGACATATATTAATTTATTATATCACATAATTTACTTGAATGGTTTGCGTCGACGATCTGATGGGTTGCGAGGTCTGTGACACAGTTACTACTTGCGGCGTTGGCGGTCTGTTTTGTGCAACTGGATGTCTAGTAAGATTAGTTTGCAAGACGGGTGCTATTAACCTGGACGAACTACCAGCAACCATGGTAGCTTGAACAGATCTTGCTTGACTGGCTGGCGTAATTAATCGTGGCTGTTGTCCTGTGTACACAGTGGACGATGGCCTGGAGACTCTGCTGACGGAAGGAGTGGGATGTCTTTGCGGTTGCGCATATAATGCAACAGATGTTTTAGGTTGCCATTGAGGATTAGAGATTGGTGTATTACTACTGAAAAAATCGACATGTGATGTGGTATAACTAGTTTGTTCTATTAAAACAATTCTGTGTATATATTTCTAAAATTATAAATAATTATTTTAATTTCTCCCTTTTAATTACATATATTATGTTTCATCTTTTTTTACTATATTACTTCAGAAACTGTGTTATTAGGTTGTATGTACCCTGGTCGAGTAGCAGGCACAATTTGTCCTACATTTGTCCTGACGATAGGAGTGGCAACTGTTGATCTAGGTGCAGAGATATTAGCAACTGCAGCAGGTCCACGCGGTACATGGTACGTAGGTATAGTTACTTGATGTGATAATTGTGTTTGAGATGGAATTTGCCTTTCCACAGTACTTAACATTCCTGGTGATATTATTTTTACTGTAGATCCTATAGAACATAACTAGAAGCGTTGAATTTGATATTAATAAATCTATCACAAATTGTACATATGCATTAAAGCACTTGACAAGTTCATTTTCCATTATTAAAATATCCTACATTATATAATATACTTTTTGATACATTTAATACTAAGTGTTGAAATAAAACTTTATTTACTTTATTATAAAACAAAAAATTGTATAAAATTTTATTTTGCAGTAAAACATAGTAAAATATTTCATTATATAAAATAAAATATAATTACTATGTGCGTGCGTGCGTGTGTGTATGTACACGCACGCATTTGCAACAGTCCTGTAAGCAACGTAACATATTAATACTATAACATTAGCTTTAGCACAATGCTAGAATTACCGTTGTTGTTATTTTACTCGTTTCTGTAGATGGGGTAGCACCAGAAGGTACCACAGGTTTCATTAAAGATAATTTTGGATTCATGTCCAGAGATACCGATTTGCCTACTAGACCGCTGGGTGTCATGGATCCAACAATAGTCTGAGTCGGTTGAATGTTTGGTACATTACTCTGTACCATACTCTGTACATTCTGGACACTCTGTACATTCTGTTGCATTGTAGTTAAGTTTTGTGCCACGGTCTGTACAGTCGTTTCCGGTAGACGTTTGTCACCACCGCTACTGACAGTGCTTATTGTAGTGTTCATGGTTGCACTATTAAAACGAAACAGATGAGTTAATTACATATAGGCCGCATATAGAGACATAAAGATCAGAGTAGATCAGGATGATGATCCACAATAGCCAAGGGATTATCCACAAGGGTACTATAGTGAGGGGTGAGGCGGGTTTACACGGGAGTTGACCTGCAAGCTGCTCTCGACACATTGCGCTCAAAGCAGGATGAGCCATCTGCATGACGACAGTCCGGGTTGTTGTTTTATGTCAGAATAGAGAGTATCGCTTCAAGCCTCAAACAAACTTTGGAGGTTACGGCGACCCGTCGACACGTACGCGGGAGAAGATCCGAACGAGGAGGCGCCGCATCGTCGACCTTGAAGGGACTTCCAGGGACTAGCCAAGCATCAAATACTGGACCATTATCCGCCTATTTGTGGATCGTGTTTCGAGCGGTCCACAGTAGTCAACTGCCCGCGTAGCGTCGCCGTCAAAAAGGCGCGTACCTGCGTAGAATTCTTGGCCCAGGAAGATGATGCCGAATCACTCGTAGGCCCACGTAAAACACTTCTCGTGCATTCGGAGTTGATCGACACTTGTATCGGGGAACAACACATACCAGTGTCTATAAAACGTTCCTCGCATCGTTACCGACGTTTACGGCGCGCACTCGAACAATGTAAGCACAATGCAGGGCAGGAATGCGGTTTTTAATATGAATAAATGTTCCATTTATTGCGTGGCGTCCGTATAGGAATTTTCTTCTCGACGCTGAATACAACTGGCCGACCAATCTAATCCAATTATTAAGGGGCAGTCACAATATAAGGAATAGAATTAGCAAACAAATTAAAAAACAAATAAAGATTTCAACCTATCACATAACCGTGTATTTCAGTGTATCCGATTTCTGATAGGTTGAAATATTACTTATTCCTTCTATTGTGGCTGCAGCCTTAAGGGTCGACAGAAAAGACTTCTGATCAAAGACAAATTTCTTCATGTTGAAATTACAGCTAAAATAGATGAATCGAGTTTTAATTGAGATATTCGTAATCAGGAAAGGCTTTCGAAGGCTCAAACAGATTTTTGGGCAAACTTAAACTATATTCGGGTATCTCATCCAATATGTATGTATGTACATACATACTTACTAAAGTGCAGTTGAAATGGAGAGCGTTACACATGCACGCAGTTTAATTGCACACACCACTCACATTGGCCTGTTCCTAGTAATTTTTCACTGCTTCACCAATGAGCTTATATTATTTTAAATTAGCCAATTAGCGATATGGGCAATTGATGTACACCCGTTGAGATGCATATATTTTTATTTATTATCATTTATAATCATTTTATAAATATAATAATTTATTATAATTTTTTGAATAATTTTATAATATAATAATTTATTGAAGAATCATTTACAAAATCCGACTCTGTACGCGCTTTCGCAGCATAAAATTACAAAAGTAAACAAATTCACTAGATATTGATCAATTAAATTATGAATATTTTTGTAAATTTGATCATTTAATTTTCATACGATACCAATATAAATGCTCTCTTAAACTTGTTCTACAATAAACAGGGTCGCAAGCCGTAAGCATAGTACGAAATTAACCAATCGTGATTGATTATTTTTGTAACAGACAATAGAGATCCTCTAATCAGAGTCTGTTCGTCGTGCGCCGTTTGAATACGGCGTGAAGTGAACGGCGAGAGGAAGGGGAGGCACGCTCCCGCTCGGTTTTCCCGCGCGAACAGCGAGGAGTGGGGGAAACTGCCGCGCGACGCGGTTGTTAGTTACCACTTCGGCATTCGCTCGACGATTTTACAGGGATTGATGTGTTACGAATCGCTCCGGATGTCGCATTAATCCACGACGGATGATATATCTACGAACGCTAATTGATGAATCAAGTAGTAAGATTGCTCAAAAGTAACTCTATTATCTTTTTTATTAAAAATATACAATATTTTAAATACGACCGAGCCCCGTGTATCAATATATAAATCAATATTTGACTTATATTATATAAAATAAAACAAACTCCAATTAGTATTTCGTCGCGGAATTAAAATGAAATAATTTCATATATCGATTTTCTCAGAACTCTGCAGTTTAGTTTTAGTGGCGCGACTCAATGTTTAATGTGATACCGTAATTGTATTGCCGTACACAGAAGTATTGATTTGGTATTAATTTCAAATATTTTTTATCAATGTACTGACGACGGGCAAACGATAACAAATTTTTTTTTACATAATTGTTACCTCAAGTTCACGTCCTAACATTACACCTCAATTTTTATTGCTCGACGATTTACAGTTAAATAAAGATTAATAATAAGTTATACATTCTTTAAATAAAGATGAGTGTAAACATCTTTTTTAAATTCGATTCTTATAAAAATATATTAAATATATTTATATATTTAAATTTAATAAATATATAAGTATATATTTATATATTTAAATAATAAATATATTTATATATTTAAAAAATTATATGGTTACTATAACATATAATTATTTAAGATAACTTTATGTTTAGTAAATATTTTTTTAATTTCACAATTTTTTGCTTAAATTTTTAAAAATATTGATTGATTTTTTCTGCTCTGTTTTAATTGGGAGTTCACATTCTTTTTGTTACAGAATCATCGTGACGACATTGCAGACATAACTCCATTGTTGCGCATCCGATTGATGAGTAATAAATTAATGTTTTTTATTCAGGTAACAAATACATGATAATTTTATTAATTATATAAAATAAAGCTATATATCTAGATGCATATACGCATCAATTTACTGATTGTTCATTAAATTCATTTTTTTTT